AATAGGGACTATATACAATTTTTATAATTAGAATTTATTATGAATTAAGCAAATCATTAAATAAATTAAGAAATAATAAAAAATAAAAAATAACCCTTTGGCTTTTTCTTATTCTAAAATGATTGCTCAATCAATGAGAACAACACTAATTTATTATAGCATTCATGTTTGTAAAGTGTATGCAAAAGTGCATATCTGATACCGATGGATAATGGCACAGGAAGGACCAGGTCTCCCATATTATTTTTCATGAGATCAGAATGAGGTCTTTGGGGATGTTGGCCCCTTCTAGCAACTTGGGAGCAAAGGCTGCCGAATCACTCGTTTTTATTTACTCTTTGGTAGATTTGCAACATGGCAGGTTTAATATTTTTTGGATAAGCTTTTTAAAATGATTTCATAGATTTTGTATAAACTTTTAAAACTATTTCATATTTTGAAGTATTAATCTTCTTTCCTATGTATATATGATATGATATGAAAAAATAACTAAAAGTTCATCAAAAAATTTGACATTATTTGGCTCGAGCAGCAAATTAGAAAAATAATTTTTAACATTTTGATAATGTTAGATACTTGTGAGTTGATATAACCTTAACAGGAAAACCTTGTCAACCGGTGACTATCAATAGTGATGTACCGAACGGTTCGCTGGCGAACGGTTCCCGGCGAACATAGCATGTTCGCGTTCGCCACGGCGGGCGAACATATGCGCGGTTCGACCCGCCCCCTATTCGTCATCATTTAGTAAACTTTGACCCTGTACCTCACAGTCAGCAGACACATTCCAGCCAATTAGCAGCACACCCTCCCTAGCAGACCTTCCCACCTCCTGGAAGGCATCCATTTTAGATTCATTCTCAAGCTGCATGCTTAGTAAGAGGAGGGAAAGTGTAGCTGCTGTTCATTAGATAGGGAAAAGCATAGCTAGGTTAGGGTTAGGGTATGCTTTTTTTTTAATTTATTTTTTCTATGTAATGTAATTGCACTTAGTTGTCTGCCACTGCTGCCAGCTTCTGTGTCAGGCTCACAGTGCATACTGTGCCCATTTCCCCAGTCAGTGCCACCACTTACATCTGGTGTCACAATAGCTTGAATTTAAAACAAAAAACTTTTTTCACTGTTATAGATTGAATAGCAGTCAGTTGTCTGCCACTGCTGCCAACTTCTGTGTCAGGCTCACAGTGCATACTGTGCCCATTGCCACCACTTAGATCTGGTGACACAAAGCTTGGATTTAAAAACAAAAAACTTTTTTCACTGTTATAGATTGAATAGCAGTCAGTTGTCTGCCACTGCTGCCAGCTTCTGTGTCAGGCTCACAGTGCATACTGTGCCCATTTCCCCAGTCAGTGCCACCACTTACATCTGGTGTCACAATAGCTTGGATTTAAAAACAAAACACATTTTCACTGTTATAGATTGAATAGCAGTCAGTGTCCT